CTTATTTTAATCTTTTTAATTTAAATACTTTTCAGTTTCTTAGCCCTAATATAATTCTTTAAAGTCATGGTTGCATAAACAAAAAACAAAAGTTGCCACTGAGGCATGTCACCGACGATTGTTTGTGGTGATGTTGTCGCATGTTCTGAGGTGGCCATTAAAAATTACTATTTGATAACCCTAATATATAATTACTTATGTATTTTTTTTTTGCTAAATATAGTATTTAAATATAATTACTTATCATATTTTTTTTATTTTATTAATAATAAATTTTTCGGCTTGTTAGCCTGTTAGTTACTAATTCATTGGCTTACTAGTCCATTAAATATAAATTGTTAATATTATTTGAAGGTCTTATTATTAAATAGACTACTGGATCATGTCAGATTTTTTAAAAAGACAGAGCAAGCCTAAAAATTTAGTCTATGTCAAGTCATAGGCCTAAGTTTAAGCTCTAATTTTATGTAGTAAGCCAGACTCATTTAACCTCCAGCATAATCCATTCTCATCCCTATTTGGGATTCCTTACCATGTGTGTTTGAGTCTTTCAAGAATCAAGAGATACATCACTCTAGTTCTAACAATAAATATTTTGCCATTTTTATAATCTCAATAAAAGAATATAGGAAATCATTCTCTAACTAGAATATATATTATAAATTGAAACACTATAATGTTTCTCAAGAATAAGTGTATTTGGTCAAGAATTAAACAAACAATTATTAAAATGATATTTGTAATATTTTTTTTAATGCTTTCAAAAAAAATATTAAAGAATGAGTATTTATAGAAAATAATTTGTGCAGATCATTTGGAATTAATCTAAAAAAAAAAACTATCTTTTCAAAAATACTTATTTACACATTTTTAGGTATGTTAATTGATCATATGAAGTAGTAGTTAATTACACAGTTCAAATTTTAAATTCTGGCAAGGCATGGTAATCAATTACAAGGTATTTAATTGATTACTACAAAATATTAAATTATATATCTTTCATTTCTAAAAATACTTTTAATTCTCATTCAAACATTTCTTTTTAAAACATACTCATATTTTCACAATAAAAAAATAAAATTATTCGATAGCAAAACAAATAAATTCTTTCAAATTAAATTTTATTTAAATTAAAACTTTAATTAACTTAACAAGGATTAAATAAATTTATTAAATAATTTTTTTTAATAACGTGATCTAAGTTTTAATTATTCTAACCATGACTTGATTATTTGACTTAGTTCATCTCTAAGAAACTTCATACTCTTATGCTTCAATCTTTTTGGCATCATCAAAACTTATAATATAATATTCACATAGGTTGTAGTAGTATTATACAAGACTAGATAAATAACTTTTGTTTACTTAATAATAAATTTATAAATGACTAACAATATTTACTTAGTAATGAATTTACCTTTTGTGCTAAAATAAAAGTAATTTTTTTAAAAATTTCACCTGATCCATGTTAGAAAATTATTATAGGATAAACTTATTTTGAAGAAATTAAAATTAGTTTATCTTTAAAAAATTATAAATTAATTCAATAGTTCACCAATAAGCCCATTTAACACTCTTGTGTGAATATTTCTTTCATCCTATAGATAATTATTTATATGTATTTTTTTTTATGTTTCTCTTTATTAAAAAAATTATAAAAAAAGGTATTTATTTAATTTTTTTTATCTATTTTTCATGACAAACAACGTAACTACAAAAAATAAATTATAAAATATAAAAAAATATATAATATAATTCCAAAAAATAATATAAAATGTTCTAAATATAATTAATATATTCTAACATTCAAAAGGGAATGATTCAGTTCCCACTTCACACAAAGTAAGTAATTTTTTTTTTTTATTAATATGCAAGAAGTAAACAATCATGAATAGTTAAGTTACCATTGTCATTGGGTATAGTCTCAAAATCAGAAAATTAGACATTTATATATGATATAGAAATTCTACCACTATAATATTTTTAATATTTTAATCTTATTTCAGTTTAATAGAATTATTATGGATAATAAAATATTTTTTAAATATTTAACATAGTTATATTTATTGAAACTTAAAATAATTTTTTTTATTTTTATTTTACTATGCTTTATTAAAAATATTAATTTTTATTATTATATCTTCATGTTTTAGAGTATCTTAAATTATCTTTTAAGATTAGTTTCTCTAATAATAATAGAAGTAAAAATCATTTAAATTTTATTTATAAAATAAAAATTATATTATAACATTTTATGCTATAATATAATATAAAATATCTCTTTCATTATTAATAGAAGTTAGTTTAAGTAATAAACGATTTATTATCGCTCAAGTAAAATCTTAAGTTTAACTCTTTTTTATGTAAATTTTTTTTAATAATATATTCACTCACTATATTTTTTATATACTTCACTTTAATAATTTATGTCTATTTAGATAAATTATTTTTATATTATAAAAAAATATGTTTATAATTAATGTTTCGTTAGATATTGTATGACAATAATATATTTTTTAAATATATAATTTACTATGATTTATATTTTTAATTTAATATAACTTTACAGTATACGGGTGATGTATTATAAAAATACAAGTGATATTTTTTTTTAGAGTTGACCTTTGTCATTTCCAAGATATTCTGTGGGCCTTTATAAGAAAACATTGCTACGAGCATTGTACCATACGAAGTCCGGTTGGTGTTGTCTTTGGTGCAAACCAGTCTTTGTTTAAGGTAATAATATTAATGGCTTTGGTTATTTCCAACTTTCTCATGATTACGTCCCCACACAAAAATAAATATTGGGTATATATGGCACGAAATATGTAGTGGCTTCGAATCTATTAGATATGATATGATATAAATTATTAAATCATTTTTTCTCTATCGTGATTAAATAGATACTGTAATACTAATTATGAATGTGAGTAATTTATTGAATTATTGACAATTCGATAAAAAAAAACTAGGTTGTTTGAAAATATCACAACACATTTTGTTTTTATATATTATTGGATTGAAATCCATGTTAATATGAGAGAGTATGAATAAAAATATTCTATGATTTTATGAATAAAACTTATTTGTATAAATTTTAATGCATTATATATACGAAAATATGATTATGAATGAATAAAATTATAATGAAAAATATTTTCTGATAAAATAATTGATTACGCTAAATGGGAAAAATATTATTTGTTGTGTGATTGTTTGGTGGCATTTTTTTTAACTCTTTAGTCTTTAATTATGTTTAAAAGTCGCAATTTCTATGTTATCATTGCCAAATATAAAAATTTAAAATCCCCAATGTCAAGTAACTACTTATAAAATCATATACCTTTGTATTTTTAAAAACCTCATCTGCCCAATGAATGCTGAATATGCTTTTTTTTTTAATCTCTAATTTTAATTGATTTTTTTCAACCTAATTTAGTTTTTGTATTTATAAATTTAATAAATTTGGTCTTTTTATTGATTTTCTTTTACTTAAAAATTTCATTTTTTTTATTGATTTGTGTGTGTGTGTGTGTGTGTGTGTGGAGGGGGAGGAGGAGGTTATAATAAAATTAGAACATAAAATCATCTTAAAAGCAGAAAAATAAGAAATATAGTAACGATTTGAAGGATATAAGATATGGATTAAGGTTTGACGAAAGAAATTCTTTAGTATTTTAAAAATTTTGAATAAAATTTGATATTTTAATTAGTTAATTTTGAGTAGAAAACAATTCAACTGATTCAATTATAAATATTTTGAATGAAAGTATGAGAATTCGAAGTTTTTGATAAAATAAAATTTTTAAAAAAAATTAAGGAGGCCAAAGTTGCACGTAGGCTTAAAAATACAATTAAACCTATTATTTTAGATAATTAAAATTAAAAATGAGGAAAGCATGGAAAAGTTAGGAGGCAGATTAAGTAACATTAATCACTTTGGACAGTGAAACCACAACACGAAACGTATAGAATTGTGTTCAAGTATGAGCAACAGCAAATGACTGGCAGAAGCATCACCCATAGTTTCATAAGAAATTTGTTGACTTTTGAGACTGACATTTATTATGAAAATCGTTTTATGTAGAATAATTATAGTTGTTTTTTAATTTTATATTTTAGTGTAAAATTGATATACATGTGTAAAGAAAAGATAAAAATAATTATATATATGGTATTAAATACGATGTTAATTTTTAATTAAATTATGGAACTGATTTATTTACATATAAAAAACAAATATCATAGGCGAGTGGTTAAGTGTGAGCATCACACAAGACACTGATAAATGTTACAATGAAGAGTGCCAATTCAAAACTGACCCTTCTTTGCATTGCATTGATCACTTCATTTCACGTACACTTCTCTGCATTAATTCTCCTACTTCTATTCTACTCAAACTCCTGAACAAAGAATCAACCTCCTCCAAACTGCTTTTAGCAAATAAAATGCATCACATCACACAGTTAACCTTTCTCCGTTGGAAAAATTCTTATCTTAAAATTCTTCACGAAATGTATCTGATGGTGACATCACAACTAGAGTTAATCATAAGGACCTAGTGTTAGATAAGGGATGATAGATACTAGATACTAGGTGAGTTTATCCCATGTATACTTTTAAGTTTTAACCTGTAAATTAATAATATTTAATAATCTTCACATTATATTATTCATATAATACAAAAAATAGCAAGTTCAAATCTAAGAACAAATCTATATTCCAAGGTCTAATTAGTGGAACCCACTTGAACTTACCTTAAAGAGTTAGTGGTGGAGTTTATGCAACTTTACTCCTAAGTCCTACCCTTCCCTGGTCTATCTATCCGTTGCTAAACAATGGAACACAGAAGTTTCTTTGCTTTAAAGCTAGAGCAGAAACATGATCTCCACTTGCACACTACTCTTCTGAATTTGATCCATTTTTATGAAAGAACACGTAACACGTTCACTGATATATATAATGTGGTCCGATAGAGAATGGGCAACGTGGCTAGGTAACCAAGCTCAATGGAGAGATTTGGAGTGTGCATTCCTTCTTTGATCCTTTTTTTTATGCTAACTAAAAGTTTAAGTTCTAATGCATTTGGTGGCATTTTGAATGATGAAGAAGCACTCAAGGAAGGCAACAATGGAATAGAAAATTCTATCACAAATTATCGGTATGTACTTGAAATCCCTTTTCCCTCTAGTTGTTATATTTTATGTTTGGGAATCTATATGTTTGTTGTTTAACCTTGGCACTTGCATATTTGGTGTTTGTAGTGAAAAGGGGGACATGGAAGGTGATGAATGGCAAATGGTGCAAAAGAAAGGAAACCAATTTGTGGTGGATGACAAACCTTTCTATGTTAATGGATTCAACACATATTGGCTTATGGTGTTTGCTGCAGATGAGTCCACCAGAGGAAAGGTCACTGAGGTGTTCCAACAAGCATCATCAGTGGGTATGACAGTTTGTAGGACTTGGGCCTTCAATGATGGCCAGTGGCGGGCCCTACAGAAATCTCCATCAGTTTATGATGAAGAAGTTTTCAAGGTGCTCTTTCACTGTTTTGTTATTTTATGTATTACTACACTAACTTGGTATATAGTGAACAACATTATGTGCACACACACACTTTAGTCATTTATTCCACTCAATAGCGTTTTATAAAATACAAATTTAATAAATTTCACCATTAAATTATGAGATATTATCTTGGTGATCAACCATACCAAATTTCTAAGCTTCCTATGGTAATTGAAATCAGAGTATGATACAGTCAAACATCAAGGCTCCCCTTTACTGTTTTGTTGTTTTATGAAATACTACATTAACTTGGCATACAGTTTACAACATAAAATATTATATAAGAATTAGTTTGTATAAACTATTCAAGAAGAAAGGCTTTAAATTTGTATAACCCCCCACTGCACTATAATAATATTGTCAACTATTTGTTACTTTTGATTGAAGCATGTTAAACGGGTTAGACACCAACCCTTACGAATTGTTTGTTGTGTAAGCTTCTTATGGTAACTGAAATCAGTTTATGATACAATCGAACTTCAAGTTATTAGTTATCAGTGCAGATAATTAGCATTCCTTACGTAATTCCATTTTACTATGGGAATTGCAGGCCCTGGACTTTGTGGTAAGTGAAGCAAAGAAATACAAAATCAGGCTCATATTATCATTGGCCAACAATTGGGAGGCATATGGGGGCAAAGCACAATATGTGAAATGGGGCAATGCTGCTGGCCTTAACTTGACCTCTGATGATGACTTCTTCTCACATCCAACTCTTAGAAGCTACTACAAAGCCCATGTTAAGGCAAGTTCTTTTAAATTAATGCAACAGGCTAAAACCACCATTGGTTACTTTGATTTGGTCCCAGAAATTATAGCTTGTTTGTATTGTGTTACAATGACTAACTGCCTTGAAATTGCAACCAGGTTATGACTGCAGTTATGTTATCTATTATTATTATTATTATTATTTATCTTTTTGATAAATCCTCGTTACTAAGTTGGTTCCAATACTATTTTCACTGTGTAGACCGTGCTCAATAGAGTTAATACATTCACAAACATCACTTATAAGGAAGATCCAACAATTTTTGCTTGGGAATTGATGAATGAACCTCGATGCACCTCAGATACCACGGGTGACAAGTTACAGGTTTGCCACTTGAAAACTTCTTCTGGTTTCCAGAACAGAAGGGAAGGATCATATGGTATTGAAAAGAAAATATATAATGCATTTTGTGATGTCCTATAATACATCACATCAAACCATTGTATTCAAGCAATTAGTTCTTTCCATGATATCATTTAGTGCACTCAATTCAACTACTAACTTATGTATAGGATTGGATACAAGAAATGGCATTCCATGTGAAGAAAATTGATCCAAAACATCTAGTTGAGGTAGGACTAGAAGGATTTTATGGCCCCTCAACACCTCAGAGAACTCGGTTTAATCCCAATGCATATGCTCAACAAGTTGGAACTGATTTTATCAGGAACCACCAGGTTCTTGGTGTAGACTTCGCTTCTGTTCACATGTATCCTGACTCTTGGTAAGTCCCTGTTCAGTAATGATATTGCTTTATTCAAATATGTAAAATTGTCATAAGACTTTTGTCAACCATTTATACAAACTGCTACATTTATACTCTCTTCGGCATTTTTTACAAGTCTCCTTTAAAAAATTTGTATGTCTTTAGTATAAGACCCTTTACAAAATTTTAGAAATATTTATTATTTCTCACATGTACCCTTCATAAATATTACACTTTTCTAATTTCTTAGCAACTACTATGATAATTGAGTTTGAGTTTAAATAGGGATAAACTTGAAATATTATAGTTTTTAATAAATCATGCACTAACTAATTTTAACAACTTTTAATCTGGGAAAAGACCTAATAAACAAGACCAGAGGGAGTATCAATATAACATTCATATGCATGCACATACTTATCTAGTTTGTTTGTACAAGCATTGATAAATTTTTTTAGAGGGTTTTGTCATACACGAGTTTATTCTTTGTCTTGTCCATTTAATTGCCTAACATGTACTCTTTAGACATGAATACAACAATTTCTAACTCAATCGATTCCCCTGTTGAAGGATTTCACAACAAATTGCTGATACTCATCTCCCATTTATAAAATCTTGGATGGAAGCTCACATAGAAGATGCTGAAAAGCATCTTGGAATGCCAGTTGTTTTTGCTGAGTTTGGTGTATCTTCCAAAGATCCTGGCTACAATTCAACATATAGAGACACACTTTTAAGCACTGTGTACAATACCATCCTAAACTCTACAAAGAAAGGAGGTGGTGGGGCTGGAAGCCTGTTGTGGCAATTTTTCCCTGATGGAACAGATAACATGGATGATGGGTATGCCATTGTTCTCTCAAAATCTCCTTCCACCTCGAGTATTATACAACTTCAATCTACTAGACTTGCCCTATTCAATTCCTTGTGCTATACCAAATGCCAGTGGGGTTGTAAGAAGAAAAAATTGTTGGAGAAAATACTCTATCATGATGAACTGTAACACCAGAAGTGGATAGTTTCCAATTGTAATGCAATGGCCATATAAAGCCATGCTTGGATAAATATGTGACATTTTGTTTGTATTAATGTCAATAGTCTGTATAATTTGTATGTTGTGACATTATAGTCATTCAAGGTCACCACAATGTTAAACTAGAAGCGTGCTACAGCATTCATCATTGTTTTATGTTAAGAATATATACACTTCAGTATCATCATATGGCAATTGGTAAAATAATAAGGCAGCATTATAGGTGTATAGTATAGTGGTTCTTATGCGGAAAACATAACTCATTTTTTTATGGGGATATGGAGAAGAACCATTTCGTACAACAGCACAAGTTGAATATAAGTGCCAAATGAAATTGAATAGGCCACTATCTCATCTTGAAAGTAACTTGCATTGAATAAGTAAAACATTACATATCAGAATGCCAATTGATTCTGGCCCTTTATCTATATTTTGTTTTAAGAATTGGCATTACTGGTGATGTCTTGCCAAGCTTTGAAACATTTACCACTTGAAGAAGGAAATCATGAGAGAAGGCTGATCAAGCCATTGCAACCACCGAGTACTGCTCCCTGAGTTTGAATAAGCCACTGATTCTAAGAGGGGATATGTTATATCATATAGATAGATAGATAACAAGGAATATTCATAGTTTCCTTTCATATCTTTCTGGAGGTTCTCTGGCTTAAACAGAGAAAAAATGGAACAAAATCCAAGAACTTCTGGTTGTCAATTCATATATTAGTTGACCTTTAGATGGTATGCCATTATATCCATATCATATAAGCCCCACCTGAAGGAAATAGACATTTTGTAATAACGTAGAGACAGAGAGCTTCAATTTACACTCGTATGATTCTTACACATCAAAAGTATAAACAAACAAGTAAACCATCCCTGTATATCAGTAATCCTAGGCCAAAAGAAACCTGTTATCTTAGACTTGATACTACTTTTTGAATGAACAGATGTTACTACCTTACTTTACCTGGATTAGAGAATAGAGATTGTATTTCTTAATTGCAAAACAATATAACACAGTTAATAGATCACTCCTCCAGTGGTTTCCCTATCACAAAGGATTTCTCCTTTAACAAAGAGCAATTGCTCAGTTTACAAATGATACTGATCTGAATGCCCCTTCCCTCAAATCCTCCTCCTATTTATTTACCTCACAACCCACTCTAACTGACTAACCCCTTCTACCAACTAACTATTATAACTGTCCCAGCTAATTTTCCTAACACCTTAGGGTGCAAAAGACAATCATAAAAAGTGCAAGTTGCTCACACTAATGATCCAATTGCATCCTGTTTAATTAAGTCAAATAGAAAGCAGGCTTTCCATATTCAAATCCAATCATTTTGCATACTTATATACACATTTTCAGAAGACAACAAGGACAGTGAGAAGAGGAGTAAAGTTCTGCTTAAGCTTACCTTTATAGAGTCAGAATTATCAACCAAGTGCAAAAAAATGAAATAATCAGAAACTGGAACAAATTTACTTACATAGCATTTCATTCTAGGCAGCTCACTTTGTGCTTAAGCTTAATTTTGAAAGGGCTGCAGCTGCCTGATCTCCACCCAGAAGGAAATAAGGATGCCTCAAAGCAGCAGCAGCAGATAAACGTCCTCTTCTTTCAGAGGAGATAAGCTTTGTTGCCAAGTCCCACCCTCTACCAGAGTCACCATCAAGAATTTGGAAGTTGGGCTTGATGCGAGCAGACTCCCTCCATTTGTTCAAATCATACCCACATGTTTTCATCTGAAAATTGAAATTCTTCAAGCCAGCTGGAGATCTTAAGGTTGGTATTGCCATTTGCAGGAGTACAATCCCGGCAGAATACATATCAAACAGATCAGGACTGTTTAACTGCAAAAGTAATCAAAGACTCCACTTTATCACTTCCTAATATATTTCAAACAGACAGGGAAAAGCACAATGGATACACTTTGAAAAGTAGTAAATGGCTCCAGTCATATTAAGTAGCAAATGATACGTTGAAAACACAGTCTGGAAATTCTAGATGACGCAAAAACTATATAGTAAATGGCTCCAGTCACATTAGTACGATTTAGAAATCCTAGTGAAGATATTTCTAATATAGAATCAACACCCAAATTAGTTCTTAATTAAATCAATGTTGGCTTGAAACACTTGTTTAGTTGTTTGATATTCCAAAAATTGAAGTACCTTCGCCAAAATTCGTATATTGAAATTCTCCAAAGAATTATATTGTGATTCTGTGAAAATATCTTGGTGTGTATACTGCTTTAACTAATTTCAAAAATTGTTTGACCCAGTATTATATTGTTTTACTAGAACTGATACTGTGATTACCCTATGAAAGAACCTTAAGTTTGACAACATAAATATAGAAATAAAACCTGCCACAAGATTGGTGAAAGGAAAGCTGCAATTGGCTCTGGTGGAAGATTTATTGTTTCTTCTGGTAGCACAGATAGTTCAGGGGGACAGTAGTCAGGATCCAGAGGGTTACAGTTGGGAACATAATTCTTTCCAATCCTAAGGTCTGTTGCTGAACCAAAATCAATGAGTTTAATCTGCCCCCGTTTGGTAACCACCAAGTTAGAAGGCTTTACATCCCTATGCACAATGCCTGTGTCATGTATTTTCTTAAGAGATGTAATGATCTGGCGCATTATTTGCTTGATGATCAATGCATCTCGTTTAGAAGAGTCTACACCTTGCAAGACACGTCGAAACATGATAGACTCTAAGTTTGAAGGGAAGGTTCTATCTGCCATGTAATCAGCAAGAGAACAGTCTCCCTGTGATATGGACAACCCTGCAATTAGTGTATAGAATAGTTGGTATATCATAAAATATATTTGGAGCATATCTGCATGCTTTAATCTATGCAATTCATTTAAATAAATGAAGGGATAAACAAGACTCCCAAGGATGGTTATTTTGTAATATATCCATGATAACATTTAAAAATTCAGACCACCATAACAAAATTGTTACAAAACTTTTAAGTGGTGCACAATGGCATGCATAGGTAATCAGTGCCTACAGTTTATCTGAATTGGAATATTTGGTAGAGCACCTCAAACTTCCAAACAAGCCATTTTCCTCCTTTTGTGAACTGTGAATTGGTTTTATCAGCAACAAAACTTCCAAGGAACTTAGCACATGTTTCAGGAGCTGCTCTAGAGACCCTGTAATTGAACCACTCCTCAAAATCACCAAATTTTTCTGCCCCTTCAATTCCTACCTTTACCTGCATATTCCATCAGTCAGCTCCTGAATACATTTAACATGCTTTAAAATTAAAATCAGAAAAAGAAAATGAATTACATCATCACATGTAAGTTGAGAAATGTTAAGTCAAGTCAACGCACGATTTGGAATTTACCAACCAAAAAAATAAAGATTGGGAGTTCAAGTTAAGTATTTGAACATCTACATATCTATTTTCTCTTCATTAACAAAAGGAGAAATTAGTAAGAGACAAAAGTCAAGAACAAAAGGATCGATAATCCTCCAAAACCAGAGAAACATGGGAAGAAAGAGTCCTCCAACAATGACCGTGGTGGCTAAGGAATCATTGGTAAAAAAAACGAAAGGAAAAAACTTAAGTGCAGTGTTATAAATACTTTTGGGTACTTTTTTCATTTAAAATTAGAGTTTTACAATAGTAATCCACGCAATAAAGGTGGATACACATTATCACAGTAAAACTCAAATATCAATTGGAGAACAACACCAAAACATCTAAGATACAGTACCAAAGTTTTATCCAAAAAGAAATATATTAATGATACCTTTTTAAGAATAACTTTATCCATAGATTTAGCTTCCAACTTAGTGACCTTGCCTCCTCCACTCTTCTGCAACCTCTCTTCTACATCTAAATTCTTAGGGACCAAAACACCTGAATAAACAACACCAAATGACCCTTCTCCAAGCTTATCTCCAATAAGAAAATCAGTTCTCTTAAGATTTCTCCTTCCAGATAAACTGTCCAAAAGCAGTTGAAGTGGAGCCAAAAGGAATGCATCAATGGCACCAACAAGAACACCAGGCCTTGCAGTTAAGTAAACCCATGTCATTCCAGCAAGTATCACAAACACCCACCTCTGCATCTCTGATAAGTCTTCAGTTATAGTCTGAAACTTCACTAACACTGATCTCAGCACAGGAAACTGGTCCATATAAAAGGTGTTATCCAACAAGTCTTTGGGGATGTTATCAGTGCATTGCACTTTGTAGAGTTAATCTTAAAACGGTTTGTTGAGAAAGGAATGAGAATTGGGGTGGTGGGTTTGGGAGGAGAGAAGAAGATAGTGTGATTATATTGAAGTGTGGTTGCAGTTGTAGGGAGCAGAGAAGCCATAAACGTTATTTCAAACCAATACAATGTTGCTCAGCGCTCCCTCTCAGACACAGCAACGTTGGTTGTTGTTTGTCATAAAACTTGAAGCTATTTTCTTTTGCTTTAGTAAACATAAAACTAGAAGCTATAGATCAGTAACGTCAGCATGGTAGCTCTTGGGCCATCTATTCCTCCTTACTTTATCCACCTTTTCTATTTATTTTCTAGCTTCAAGATCACCTCAAACCTCATCCAAAAAGCACAAGCAATTTCATAATAATAATAATACCTTGGGATTTTCTAATAAATAGATATCTTTATCTACTGATTTTTTTATACATTTCGCGCTCATTATTTTGCCGAATTTAGCAAAAAGAGATTACTTTATGCTAAAAAATAATAAAATTTAGATTAAATTAATAAATTCGTAACTTATCTCTTGATTTTATTTTGATTAGATCATGTTTCTTAGTCTATCAACTTATAAAAATATTTGAAATAAATTATTTTTTTTATTAAAATGTTAATTCTACTCAAAAAGCATTCTTCATTTTCTTTCTTTTTAAAAACTTAAATAAAGATACAATATACTCAGGGATTTATTGCCTCATTTTTTTTTCTTTCTCTTTTTCTCTTTTTCTTACTTATCGTCCACACCTACACCTACATAGTGTATATCTATATGCTTATGCTATTGGGAGGCCAAAGCTAGCTATAAGCAACTTACATACCGAAAAATTTATAGAATGCTTTTTTGGACTTCATGTTGTTCTGCAGCCCAATCCATCCTATACCTTGTGTATTCTTCATCCAGTAAATGAGAGAGTATATTAATCACAGCAAGAAGCTCTCTTGAGTCCTCCAAAAATTTATTGTCCTATAGATTCTCCTCCTTAAGCAACAATTTTTTCATAAGTAGAAAGTGCATTGAAACATGTCAAATAAAGAGTATTGTCGAAAATTCAGTGTTGAATGTTAAATTGAAACAATATGGCATATTAGTGTAGTGAGTATTAACTTAAAAAGGAGGAAAAAAAAAAGCAATTAAAAATTTTGTCAAAATATAATATGTTTTTGGTGGAGTTCAAAAGAGAAAGAAATGAAAATATAATACTTGTCACTAGAAGTGCAGTTATGAGAGAAAGATGCTGCTAGCATTTTCAATTTTTTTTGTTTATTTAAAAATTAAATAATCTTTTTATAACAAAAATATAGAAAAATAATAAATTTAACAATAAAAATATATTATAAAAAAGTAATTTTTAGTTAAATTCAATTTTTAAATTAATATAAAAATATTTTTTATATATTTTATTTATTTCATTTTTACTCATCCAATTTAAGTGGAAAATATTTTGTTTACTTCTATCTCGTATTTTTACTCATTCAAATAACGTATCATTTTTATTCTATTTTTACTCTATTTATCACCCATATTCTTTTCTTCTATATTTTTTCCCTCTCTATTCAACTCTTTCGTACAAACAAAGCGTAAGAGCATTTTTCAACTGATAGATAATTATGAAGCGGAGAGATCACTAAAGTAGGTATGGTTTTTCTTGGTAAATTATTTTTCTTACACACAACCATGTCTTTATCCATTAGTTAAGATAAAAAAAAAAGAAAAAAGAAACCTCAGAATTATTATATTTTTAATTTCTTATTTGAATAAATATCCTCTTTATATATTTCAATGTAAATAAAAATATTAAAACATGCATTTTTATTTAACTGAGTCTACAACTTTGTGCTGTTTTAGGATAAAATTTGTATAATGAAGAGACCAAATAGTGAAAAACCGATTTTTGCGATCACATAATGTTCCACATAGTTAAAGACTGGCAATGAGAAATTATAGTTATTTGTTTTAAATTGTTATGTATCGAAAACAACTAAAACGAATGTGATGATAGACTAATCATAAAACTATAAGATCTCAAGATTTATTTATTTTTTTCGCGTGAAAGATCTTAAGATTTTGGAATGAAGTTGAATAGACAAGTATGTAACTCAACTTCTCTACTATAATTATAATTCATAATCATTACGAAAGTAAATCTCTAAAATTAATTTTTGAAACAATATTGATCATAAATTTTAATTTCTTAAAATTTAAATTGTCTTTTGTCAATCTTTAACTTAACAAAATAAAATTGATGTTAAGTTGATTTTAGCGTGAAACATCAAACAAAAATAAAATAAGAAAATATTAAAATGAATGACATTTTACGGAGTGATGGGGACAAGATAGACGAAGCGAAATATCTTTCCATCATAGGGTGTTTGAAGTGAAATGATACGACCAAGATGAATGTATGGTCAATAAAGAATGCATGCATACCTTTACATGGATGTGATGTTGATCAATTTGGACATCTGTAAATTTGGTCTTATAACCGTCTTGTACGAAGTTGTACTCCTTGTTAGTAGGGAATGTCATAATCCGTCTGAAAAAGAGAGTTTATCTGTTACAGATGTTAAATTGTAGTACTTGTATGAGCGCAATGGAGGAAGTGTTTGAGCCATTTTATGGAAGAGGATGAAGATGACAAAGACAATGTCGTTTTGGTAGGAGTTATTTATAGGCGTGGGTATTTCCAGGAACTAGAGTAGCGAGGGACTTTAGGGGTGGATGGTGGTGACTGGTGGGAGCAGAAGAGGATGGGAATTTGAGATTTTCCGGCAGCAGCGAGGGAGGAGTTTACCATCTGGTAAGAGTTGGGCGATGGGGATCACCTCTTCCTTTAACCGGAAATAAAACTTTCGAACTCTCCTTTTCTTTTGTGCCAAAATCAAGTAATCCAATGAATGAGAGTATGTGGATTGCATATAATGTCACACATTTTGTGCTACCTTTAGTGTTACAATTTAAATCATCATTTTTTTTCCCATTTTGACCAAATTTCAAATTTTAGTTTCATTTCACATTAATTTAAGTTTAAATTCAAATTTTAATGTTTCTTACCTTGGCCAATTTCATAGAAAACTTTAATTTTAACTTTTTAAAATGAAAATGAAACTTAAATTCCATTTTTAATTTTAAAATTTAGTCTAAAGTAGAGAAAAAATTAAAATTTCAACACTAAACAATGTGTTTAGAATGTGTTGTTTGCCAATTTTTAATTCGTGGAGCAAAATAAAAATAAGAAACACACCAAAATGTGAACGTGATTCGTGTCACACGTGTTATATTTTAGAGTTACATCTATTCTTCTTACTCAATATAATGGAAATATTGTTGAATTCACCCATTTAATAAATTTTAAATCATACTATTTTAATAAATCATTTTTAAAATTGCCTTACTGTTTGGAGGGGGGGATGTTAAAGGAAACAAAAACAAATGCGTGCGAAGGGATCTCATCGGTCATTTCAATCAATGCCCGAGACAGCAAAGTTTGCCAGAACATTTTGAAGACAGACACGTAACTTGAGAACACAGTATTTGTAACAGTATAAAATAAAGCAATTTATTTGCTGCATATAAGACAGCTCAACGTAGCTGTAGAGCCGCAAGTCACATCGATAAGTAACTGAACTCAAAACCTGCAAAGTTCACACAAGTCCTAATGGCAGAAGAAAACATTTCTTGTTGGCAATTACTGTGACAGTGTACCACTGATCACGCATCCAAATACAGGTAATACCTAATGAGAAGGAAGACAGTATACGAAAACATGTGCATCTTAAGCCAATGCCATTTCAAGCTGCAAAGTTAGCAAGCAGGGCTATGGCTTTGAAGAAAAGAGGCTGCAGGCCTCACATAAGAGAAGTCCTTGAAGGGATTTCCACCATTTGGGCTGGCAGCTGGAGAGTCCACAACAGGCATATCAGTCCAGCTCTTCTCAAAGTTGGCAATACAGGTAATACCTAATGAGAAGGAAGACAGTATACGAAAACATGTGCATCTTAAGCCAATGCCATTTCAAGCTGCAAAGTTAGCAAGCAGGGCTATGGCTTTGAAGAAAAGAGGCTGCAGGCCTCACATAAGAGAAGTCCTTGAAGGGATTTCCACCATTTGGGCTGGCAGCTGGAGAGTCCACAACAGGCATATCAGTCCAGCGCTTCTCAAAGTTGGCAACACAGTGCTTCCCAGCTACTTCTGGCCGAAAGCTTGGTTGGATCTCTCGTGCTTCCAACCTTTTCCAATTGATTGGTTTAAACCACTTGTGGCCTTTAATTTCTTCAATCCCCCGGGCTCCACAACCTAAGCGCTTAGTTGCTTCCTTCTGTAGCAGCTGTAACAGGTATAATCATCTTTGTTTAACTTTTGTCAATTTACAAAGTAGCAAATATAGAAAAGCTCAAAATGAAATGTCAATCAAGGAATTAACATCTCTAGTAAAGAATATTTCTCTACAGCATTTCAATAAAAGATTAAGGGTACGTGAAGATACACAGCTTAATTAAATGCTTATTTAATTCACTCCTTTTAAAAGATGAATTAAGTCATAAATTTAATGAAACTTATTGAAATAAGCTAAAAAAAAAAAATATTTAAATAATCTATACCAATAAACTTATTAAAATAAGCTATAAGCTCATAAACTATTTCCACAAGCTCTTCCAAAACTGACCTTCGTAATTCATCTTTGAAACCATAAAAAGCATCACAATACATGCATTAGTTATCATGCTCAAAGGAAACCTTGATTATGCTGAGGCCCTTCAATGTATGGCAATTAAACATCTTACAGCTATGCTGAATTGACAGTAGTATTTTAAGACAGAAAAGTTATCTAGAGCTTATTATGCGCCAAATAATCATATGATTTCAGATGATGAACTGTTCTAGAGTAATTACCCCTTTCAACAGTGAATGTGCTTCACTTGACAAAAATGCTGGCAGCTTAATCTTGTCTTTAACTATCTTTTGCTGAATTCTGTCACGGCTCCCAACACAGAAAGGTGGCTGCAGAGGAGGTGAAACAACAAAAACAATCATTTAGCAACTCCAAAAGGACCTAGCAGTTATTCAGTTCCCAACTCCCAAGTAATTACAACTTACAAGTATTACTTTACAACAACAAAACAATGAACCAAAAATATCTGTGGTAATGTTAATAGAAATTCCCAAATTTGACATCCTCCATTTCCTTTATTTTCTCCCTTTAATTTGAGGAAAGGGGTAAAATTGTCTCCAAGCCAAGACTAATAAGCTTGACTGATTTGCGCAAATGAACCAAGGCAGGCTGCACTTTTTTGGTTAGCTAATAAAATAAGCCTGCCATGGTGCTTCAGCAGATTCAGCTTCTAAGCTTAAGAACATGTAAATAAAAATAAATATTTATATAATTAAACTTTAAAGAGACAAACATTGTATAGTTGGATAAAAAATGTTTTAGCAGTTTACAAGTAATTAAGAAGGTACACTATTATTGTCCTATGGCCAATTAAACATTTAAAAAATCCTGCAATCGTAACTTCATTAGAACTAAATCAGAACTGGAAAACTTGAACAAGCCACATTTATGCAGCCAAAAGTACTGTTTAAAATCAAGTTGTTGGAAAGAAAGAAAACATAAGATTGTGTAAATGACTTAGTACATGTCTAGTTTGGCTTATTTTGAGGAAATAATTGCTTATTTTTGGCAGCTTTGTCGAGCATTTAAAAAATATATGATCATTTCTGCGAAGAAAGATATTCCAGACATGCACTTAAATTAAGCTTAGTGTTTTGATCTCAGACAGCCTATAATAGTTAAATATCTTCCAAATCTGGTCTAAACATGCAGACTTTAGAGAAGTTAATTGCTTGCACCCTAAGTAGGAAGGATGGACACAACAAAACAAGGACAGAGAAAAATTTGAAGTCTAATATTGAGCTGTGGTTAGTTAGATAGTTAGATGCAAGTTTGAGTCTGACAGTGTGTTTGCAATCATAAAAGTGTATTTGGTTAACTTATTTTGGAAAAATAATCACTTATTTTTGTTAGCTTCCTGGAGGGCTTTTGAAAAATAAGCAGCTATTTCCCCAAAATTAATCAATCTCAACAAACATGCAACAAATTTAACAACTGAGATTTTTCCTCAACCAGCTAGTACACAGACCCTCCTACCCACTAAAAGATCATCTAACTATGAATATCCAGAAGAACCAGAGTTACAAATTAACAAGGAACAAGATGCAAACCTTTCCAGTAAGCATCTCAAACAGTAGGACACCAACACTCCACCAATCAGCAGCCTTGTCATGGCCCTTGCCAAGAATAATTTCAGGTGCCATGTACTCTAATGTACCACACATCGAATTTGATCTTGTACTATCTTCAAACTGTTTTGCTAAGCCAAAATCAGTCAGCATAACCTAGTAGATCAACAAAGAAATCAATGTTCAGCTAATACACGTATAAAGCAGGATTTAAAAGCCACTGTATGAAAATCATGAGGGAGGAAGGACAGAGTACATGGCCATCAGCATCCAGTAGGATATTTTCAGGTTTTAGATCCCTGTGCATTATTCCATTTGAATGGAGATGTGAAACTGCAGAAACAATCTCAGCAGTGTATACGCGTGCCAGATCCTCTCTGAATATTCAAAGAAAAATGGGACAAATATTAATCCTGCAAATTAAAAACAGAAACAGGAAAAAAAAAAAAAAAAAAAAAAAAAAGCCTCAAAGCTAAGCTTACCTGAAAAGGCCTTGATGATAAAGCTGGAAGAAGAGATGGCCGCCATTTACAAAATCCAGCACAAGATATAGTCGGTACTTTGTCTGAAAAAGCATTTCAAGAACACACAACTTTTAATTTCTCTTAATGGAGACTGGAGACCATTTTGTTTTACAAGACAGATAAACTTAACAAGAGAAAGCATTTCACTAGCAAAGAACACAATTCTGGAAACAAAGAATAAAGTAGTTAAAATAAATACCCATGCCTTAAACTCATATTGTTCATTTATATTTTGGTTAACATACACAATTACACTACGACAAACCCTAAAGCGGGAAGAAATCAAATGAAAGTGGCATGGCATTGTGCAAAGCTACATCATTAAAGATAGACCATCAACAAAAGACAAAAGAAGCTACAAAACCTTATTACAGATTCAAAATTAAATACCTGAAAAGAGTATCTGAGCTTAACAACAAAGGGGTGCTCTATCTTTGTCATAATATCCCTCTCAGCTTTCATGTATTCAGCATGATTCTTCTCCATAATTTTGTCCTTCCGCATAACCTTCATGGCATATATTTCTGATGTACCTTTTTTCCTTACCTGATATACTTTTGCAAATGCACCCTGCCCCACAACCTTCAAAATATCGAAATCCTCAATGCTAACTCTCTGGATCTTCATGAGATTCCCATCTTCATCTTTCAAAGATTCCTCCACAAAGGAAGATTCTTTTATGTCTTCAATGGTCTCTCCAGTGAAATCCTCCACTAATTCTAATGAATCCTCAGTCTCATGTATGGTGAGTTTTCCAAGCTTAAGGGATTGATTAACACAAGTAGAAGGGCCAACCAGAGAATGAGAGCGAGTGTAAATGACTTCCGGGTCATCATAAACCAGCTCGCTCACTTCTTCTACAGGCTCACCAGTAGTGGAATCAATGTTACTCAAATCTACTGTAACTGGACCAAAGACATCAGAGAAATCTAGCTCAATATGCTCCGTGTTTACCGTATCAGGAAGGTCCGCAGGAAAGAGTAAATGAGTCTGTAACGGTTTGTATGCACCAGCCGTCGTCAAACCAGAAAACTGAGAGGAAACCATTTTCACCACCTAAGAATAAGGGATCTAAATATGCTGATGACCAAACTAATAAAGACTAAATATCAACAACCCCAAAGCTCCCCAAGACCCTCACTGCAGATGGACTCCTATCAATTGCCTGAATGAGGAGAAAGTTAATGTAAGCAAAAGGAGTTCCCAAAAACTTAGGCAGCAAGCAGAGCAAAATCCAGCAGAAGAGGTCGTTGTCGTTGTTCTTGTTTCCCGAGCCACAGGAAACGAAGTATGCTCCAGTAATTGTTGAACTCATGAAGATCCAATTGACAGTCTGCGTTTCAATTCACCACCAACAAACAAAAGTCACACAAACAAACACAACTGCATTTGTTACCATAACCTAATCACAATACCATAAAAACCACTTCCATAAATCAGACATAACAATTCACAAAATTATCACGTGCATAAAACACCATAAGCATACAGAGAAAGAATTCGAGTTCCGATTCTCAATAAATAAGTAAAGAAACGGCTCGATCGTCATGGAAGAAAATTATTCGGAATTCAATAACTGAAATCTATATAAAAGCGAGATCTAACAGAGACAAAAATTTCCGAAGCACCGAGGTAAGGTTAGGGTTATCATAAAAGAAAAAACCAATAAGAAAATTAACAATTAACAAACAGAATTAAAATTAAAGGCAACCTAATAGATCGAGAGAGAGAGAGAGAGAGAGAGAGAGAGAGGGAGAGACCTTGGAAGGTTGCAGGGTAGGGGCAGAGAAAGGAGGGCGTTGTTTTCAGGAATATTTTGATTTAGCGGTGAGGCACTCGCGTCGCCACTTATACCATTTTTATGGTTATCTTTTATTATTCCTCCACACGTGGCATCATGTGAATGGGTCAATAATGGGTGCATTTTGGGCCCACTGCTTGCATGGACTCTCCCCTTTCGTAGGGGGGAATGAGGATGCGAATATGCGCTTTCCTATGCTATTTTTGGATCCACACTTTGGCCCGCTTTTTTTTTTTTTTCATTTCTTTTTTGTGGAATTTAAATAATTTGTAAATTTTATTTACCAAAAAATTTAATAAGGAGAGGAGCATCATTTACGTTTAAGAAATTTTTTGACAACATTTTTTGTGATTTGATACCTATTTTTACCTTCTAAAAGTTCATGAACAAATTGAGCCTTACAATAAAAGTTTTATTATTGTTATTTACTTAAATGTCTTTGTCAACGTTAACATTGTTTTAACTTAGTGTATCGCGTTATTTTTAGTTTATTTTTTAAGTGATAAAAAAAATTGATTGAAGTGAATCGTAATATATATTATATATTGAAAGAAGTTAATATATTGTATATAATTTTTCCTTTAATGTTAATCTTTAAATCTTTAACTAAATTATCAATAATTATAATTTAAAAATAAGAATAAATATAAAATTACAGATTCTCTTTTGATTTATTCGCAACAGTACGATGATATAAAATTGAACACAACCGAATGCAAGGTGGTGTTGTCTTTCACGTCGGTATCTAACTCACCTTTTGACAAGTTCTGTGCATAAGGGAGAGAGGGTGATTTTACAACTTTGACTCTCAAAGTTGTCTGCTTTTACAAGAATTTGTATTAGATTGGTTAAGCTAAAAGTTTAGTTTTTAGATTTAATGTTGTTGTTTTCTAGTTTTATATAAAGAAATTGTATTTTTGTCTTTACGTAAAAACAAACATTTATGAAATCATCCTTATTATATATATAAGAATTAAAATGATATTAAAATTGTAAATTTAATTCGTATATTTAAATCTTAAATTTAATTCATATACTTGATATTTACTTATTTTTGTTATATTATCAACAAATAATAAGAATAAATTTATAAAAATTATCGTGGAAGAATTAAAATGTATTCTTTTTATATAAGAATTAACTAAATAAACATGGTCAGTTACGGAGATTTAATCTTTTTTTATTTTGGTATTATATTATATTCATTTTAATAATTTTATCTCTAAAGATGGTTTTTTGTTATCTAAATGAAAATTAAGGGCTTGTTTGATTTTTTAAAAACAATTTTTTATATTTTTATTTTTACTATTTTCATTCTATTTTTAAAAATTTATACAGAAAATAGCAAAAAAATAGTTTTAGTGTTTTCTGTAGAAATCGTTAAAACCATAAAACATAATAAAAATAAAAAATAACAACAAAAAACATATTCTATAACCAAAAAGTCCTCAAGTTTTCCAATTCATTTTTAAAATATATACTCAAATAACTAAAAGAAAAATCTTATCATAATTTTTAAAAATATAATTTTATCAAAATCAATTGATATGATTTTATTTAGATATTTTTGCTTATGTTGATGCTTCAACTTTTTTTTTTAAAAGAAAAACCTGTAATCTACAATGAGATGCATGTAAAGAGGGTGATGTTTAATCCAAACAAAATGTTATAAAAGTGAAAAGGTTATATAACTTATGTAAGTTTATAGACTCTTGTGAGAGCTAGGACTAGTCTTCCAATAATGGTTTTTAGCTTTTTGTGCAATTGATATTTTGTTGAAGGAGGATGATTTTACGAAAAAGAAAGAAAAAATCCTCTTGTGCTCAAGTAAATAAAAACTTTGGCAGAATTTTCACGAGTCAATTTAACGTAGATTAACATCTCGTTTATATAGACGTGAGTTTGTCTGAATTTTGAAGGTTATATCATTACGTTAACGTTAGCTGATTAGGTAATTTCAATCGAGATGGATTGCTTTTAAAATTTATGACTATAAAACATGAAATTATATTTTTAAAAATAAATATAAATGTTATGGCATCCAATGATTTTGAGTTTGTGCAAATGCGAAATAAATATGTATATTTTGAAAACTGGAATCTCTTAACAGTTCATATGGTTGTTTCCTTTTGCATGGGGATAGTATTTTTATTTTTTTTTTCAATCTCTTAGATGTTTGTATGTATCTTGCAATTTTAAGCGATAATTTGTGTGGGAGTTGTTTTTTCATGAAAATAAAAAATTATATTCAAGCAAAATTTATTATCCTTTATATTAAAATTTTACATAACTTTTTAGTGTAAATTTGTTGTATTTACATTTTATAGATATTATAGAAATTTAATATTTTTAAAAAACGCAAATAAAAAAAATCGCATAATAAGATTAGCACACAATATCCATTCCCAGTTAGGCAATTACACCCCTTTTTATCTCCAACAATAATTTTCCACTCCCTTCGTATCATTCTGGTTCACTTCAACACATCATCCCCAGTTCCCCACCATATTCTGACGCTGTAGAATTTGTACCCATGCAGCAAAGGGGCTCTGCCTCTGCTTTTCTGCTTGGTCTCTTTGTGCTCTCTCACTCACTATGACTGAATTTCTCGCCACAAACCCTCTTACCATTTCAGCAGCAGAATCTCCAAGATTCCCCTTTCTCAATTCATACCCAACTCTTACAGCTAGAACCCAACTCAACCCAAATTCCCATGCCCCCTTTTCTCCCAAACTATCCAAAACCAAAAACAGTAAAATGATCGTTTCCGCTGCACGCCCATCGAGGGGTTATAGCTTTTACAACGAACTTGAATTTGAGGACAGAAAGGAGAAGACTTTTGGATTGGAGAGAAACCCTGTTGGTGAAGAAGATTCTCCCAGTGAAACTGGGTCAGTCCCATTTGTTGGAGTGGAGAATGATGATGACAAGGGAAGTGGGAAGAGGGAGAGGGGTTTGGAAGGGGATGATTTGGTTCGGGTTCAGGGGGATGAAGATGAGGTTGATTTGAAAGAAGGTGATGAACAAGTTGAGAGATTTGGTGGAAAGCTCAAAGTCAGAAGAGGGAAACAGGTGATAAGAAGGTCGAGTTTGTTGGCGAAACAGGTGATCAGCATTCGCTCTGCTCTTAGCTTGGGATTCATCTCGCAGCTTTGGGTGGACACTACCTCTGTGAGTCTTGAAAATCTTAATTTTGTGCAGCTTTGGGATTCTTTTTTTTTTTTTTTTTTTGGAATTTGTTAATAGTAGTTGTTTGTTTTGTTGATATGAATATGATATCTTTTTGTGGGGCTGAGAAATTTATTTTATTTAATGTTTTTAGTAATTTCATTTCAGTGGATGGTGTTATTTGCGGAGGTGAGGCCAAACTTACTTTCTGGGGATTCAGAAAAGTTCCTTCTGGAGGATATTAGCCAGGTATAGGAAGTTTGGAATCAGGGGAGATTGTTTATCTTAGTTAAGATTGATCATATTCTCAGTTGAATGTGTATATACTTGCTTCAAACATACTTTACTCCCCCTTACGATTGCTTTATATCACTTCTGGGGAGTTCTTTTACCTGCGCAAATATGAAAGATACCTTCTGTAAAAAAACATTTGCATTGTATGTTCAAAGGCAAACTCTTGCTTGCCTTCATAATTTTGTCTTGTGGCCTCAACTGAACTCCTGATTATATTTGGTATACCTTTTTGCCTTGCCAGCAAGTCACTTCTTGGATATTTAACTATGGCTAAGTTAGGATAAACTTCTCAATAAGTACTTATAGGAGTAACAAATTAGTAGTAAAATAAATCAAACATTTCTCATAAGTTAAAATCAACTCATGTTTCTCTATTTTTTTAGAACACTTTCATTTAATTTCTCTAAAACTTGAAGAGTAGAACTTTTTCTGAATTTATGAGAATTTTTTTCATTTTTCATATTAATTTTTTTCTCCTATAAGTACTTATCTAGAAGTTTATTCAATTGGTCTTGTATTGAGTATACTGCTTGTACCTGTTTCAGGTTGGAGATGTTGTCCTTGTCCAGGATGAAAGTGTGATAGATAACGAATTTAAAATGGTTGGATTGGAGACACTGGTATGTTTCGCTGTTTTATATGGATCAAACTAGTGAATTATTTTTTTATGTGATTTATTGGATAGTTCATTGTCCGGCAGAATTTGGATAAGAAGTCTTCTTTCATCATGTGGTACTGAAATGCTGGTGTGTTGTTGAAACAATGCGTATTAGTTATGTTTCATGCTAAGACTGAAATCTTGCATTAGAGGAAAATATTTATATTTCTTGAAGTATCAGGGCTTATGCCAAGGGACTTTCTTCCCATTGTTTGTAAATTATGTGAACTCAATCTCTCGTATGATTTGATGTTTTCAGATGTTTATTTATGGATTTGGTAAGGAGAATGTGATCTCCCCTCTTTGGATATTTCTTGTCCTTCTTGCTGAAGAGTAAGGACCTGTTTGGTTTGTGGAAATGATTTCTGTTTTAATTTTCTGTTTTTACGTTTAATTACAAAATTGTCACCTTGTTTTCATCTTGTTTCCTGTTTTTGAAGATTCGTGCAGGGAACACTGAAAGCAACTATTTTAGGTTGTTTTGTTTCCTGTACAAATCTTTGAAAACAAGAAACAAAATGAAAACAGAAAACATTCCTGAAACCAAACAGGCCCCAAATTTCTCTATTTGTCATGAGATTCCATAGGTTTGTCATGTCAATCTTGGCTTGTTTACCATGTCTATTAAATTGATACAAATTAGGAGACATTTTAATGTGTTTGAATTTGCTAGGTTGGATACAAAGTTGTAACACCCTCTCGCCGGAATATTGGAAAGGTGATTATATATATCTTTCGCCATATTGTTTTCACTAGTTTATTTATCTCCATTATATAATTAGGGAAATCTTAACTTTTAGGTGCGCGGGTACACTTTCAGCATCAATTCAGGTGCTGTTGAAGAACTTGAACTGGATTCATTTGGACTATCCATCATTCCATCAAGTTTGGTAAGTGAGTAGCTTCTTTGTAATACAAGTACAGAGTTACAGATTGCATGCAAGTTTTGTCAATTAATATTGCCCTTTAATGAAATGGAAATTCCTGCTAGTTCTCACTTGACAAAGGTATATAAAAAAATTAGGCAAAACCTTATTGTTAGAATATACGAAAAGCAGTTCATGATATCAATATTATATCTTAGTATATTTTAGAGTATCTTAGATTATCTCTTAAATTACTTTCCCTATTTTCTAACATGATTTGTTTCCTTATTTAGATAGGATTATGGTCTAGTTTAGTATAAGTATGGATTAGTGCTCTATGTGTTATCATCTTATTGTAGCATATCATACATAATACATGAGAAAATTTTGTCACGCTTTGGTTCGTGTTGCTCCCTCCCATTAGATGTTCTTGATTACTGTTCATCCCACCCACCACCACCCCTTCCTCAAAACACATATTTCTGAGATCAATGACCTCCAACACTACTATCAACCCATCCTAAGTAGTTTCAAGTTGAACTGACACCATCTGTTGTCTGTTACTGCATGTTGGCTCCTCTTGGTTCCATGTTTACCTCATCTGATCTTTGGGCATGTCTTCTACGATGCCTCTTGGTCTTGTTTTGCCCTGGCTGTCAACTGTGGCTGTTTTTCCCTGGCTTTGATTTGCAGTTTCCTATTTGGCTGCACCCCTAGCTTCAGTTTGCTACTGTTTTGTTTCAACATTTTGTGCTAAGTGGAATTTGGCCTTTGATTATTGTCTCAGACATAGGCCAGAGACCTTGCCAATTTTCTGTCCCAGGAAGATGATCATTCCAGCCATGTTTGGTAGAGCCCATATGATAATAAAGGTTTTGATTATAACATTAGAGAGACCAAGTACTTATATTATCAAATAATTTCTCTTGACATATATATGTGTGTGTGAGAGAGAGAGAGATTATAAGATTGACAAATCTAACTGTTGAATCATCTTATATATCAAATTTCACATAATTTGGATATTTGTAGGTATGTTATCCAAAATTTGATATATTTTAATATCTTAAAATCATATTATTTGTTAAAATAAAGTAATGCAATGAAATATTTATTAATTTTATCTTTGTAAGAAATTTTGTAAAACTGATCTACTTGATAATAACTTTCAAACTAATTGTTATATTGATTAATTTCACATTCTATAAAAATTATTCAGAAATGTAAGGGGTCAAATTTGACACATGTTGTAATTGATTCAGGATCCTTTGACATAAATATTTGAAGACATATATTCTATATCTACTTGTTAGTCTTGGCTCCACCAGTATTAAAATCCTTTTGCCGTCTCTGATCTTTTGTTGCCAGTCCAGGCCACAATTATGCCACCTTGTTAACATAGTGCTCCTGAGAGTTTACTCTACAAATTTATAATATTTAGAGCATGCTTGGATTTGATTATTTCCTGTTTTTTTTTAAGTTCTCTCACAAAGCTTTGGATGATAAAGTGTTGAACAAAAAATAAGCTCATCCAAACACACACTTGCTAAATTTTAGGTGAGTACCTACTCTTTGCTGGTTGAGGACGTACTGGAAGTAGTATCTGATGCAGTTGTTGTGCACGAAGCTGCAGCTTTACGTATACAAAGGCTTTCAAAGGTACTATTTAGTTCAAGAATAAAACTGTCAGGTTTGCTTGGAGATTTCATTCACTTCTGTTTCTTAGCTGCTGAAAATGTTGCTTGGGTTTCTACTGACTCCGTGAATCTGGATTATTTCCACTTGTCTTGCTGGATACATAAATATAAGCGCGTGCTTTTAATGGTTAATGCATTGAAACTTACAGTTCTGATACCTTCTTTTGATTTCTTCTGCTTATAGCATATTAAGTTTATGCTTTATGTAAAGCCATCTATTTATATTCGTTGGCAATAATTTGCCATTTTGTATCTGAAATATTTGATGCCATTTTGTTGTAGAATCTTCCTTTTTTAAATTATTATTCTGGAAATTAAATTTGAATTCAGTGGGGGAAACTGGCTGAACATTGTGATTTCTCATTAAAACAAAAAGTGCATACATTCAGGCACCCTTTTATAGCTCTTTGTTAGTCATTCTTTTATTTTGTCCTATTGATAATAGAGCAGCCTATTTGTTTGTACTAGGGCTTTTTGGGGAACCAGAATGTGGGAATTTCAGTGGATGATATTGAAGATTATGAATCTGAACAATCTGAGACGTATGGTCATATTTCAAGAAGGAAAAGTTTGGGAAGAAGAAAACCCAATCAAAGAGATTGGGCTAATGAAGATAATTGGGAGCTTCCGATGGACTATCTTTGACTTTCATGGATTTTCTACTAAATTCCGTACACACACCTTCTATTAAAAAATTATGAAAGTTTAAATAAGCCTATTAAAAACACCAAAAGGATTTTCTTTTCTTTTTCCTTTTCGGTGGTAAGTAGGCTTTCATTTGTACAGTTTCGTTGAATTTCTCTATATTTTTTTGGACATATATTTTAACAATATTTAGCTTGTAATGCCTATTCACTCTGAATAAGTGTTCGGTATGTAATTATAAACAAATGTTCCATAGTTTGACGGAGATGATATTTTTTCTTTTGATAAGCAATTAAATACGTTTCCATCTTGAATAATAATGCGCACTTCAAATCTAAAATGCTTTAGTTTTCTAATCAATAGTAACATGTGTAATTTCCGTGTAAATGTAAAACATGTTTAACGCAGGTAATAATAACAATACGTGTCTGTTGGTGAAATTTTTGGCTTGCAATTATACTTTTTTTTTTTGGCAACCGGGAGCTTTCAATGACATTTGTGCTACACTTTTAACTATAAAATTTTTAAATTGTAAATGCTTAATAAAAAAAAATTAACTATGTAACTTCAGATTTTATTTCGAGATCAATGTATGATTAAAAAAATTACTGTTAACAGAGATCTACATATTAGTACTTGGCCATATTCTAAAAAAAAAATCTCACACCTAACAAGTGATACTTTAAATCACGCTACAAAAATGACAAAATAATATGTAAAATATTTTATTAGCATTTTTCGTTAAATTAAAAAAAACAAGTTGCCCAACTGTTAAATTATTTTGTAATATATTTATAACTTTTTAAAGTCCACGTTACAAAATACCAAAGATACTTCAACTTGTTAATCATACGAGCTATATAACTTAAACTAGTTAATGTGAGTTAACACCTGATAAGTTTAGATCTAAAATTTAATCAAAGTTGCGTGGGAATCTTTTTTGAAAAATTTCCATAGAATCCAATGTGGCTTTTTTAAAAGCAAATATGATTGAGAAAGCACTAAAAAAAAAAAAAAAAGGGACTAGCCGTTTGCGCCTGTCTGGTTTCAAATTCAAAACTCGCCTCAAGCCCTCAACCTCTTTTATTCACCACTTTCTTTCCCTTCTCCTTCAGCTCCCTACCAGACCAAAATCCCAAACCAATAACAAACAAACCAAACACGACATAACGCCGATGCAAACACAAATTCAAACGCAAATGCACACTCCGACAACCGGACCACCAAAGCTGCGGCCGCGATCTGGCCGGACGCCGCTTCAGCTCAAGAACTCTCCCGCCGATGTCATCCACCCTTCCGCAAAGCTCAAGCCCAAGCCCAATCCCGATCAGCCATGTTTGGAGATCTCAGCAATCGACAAAGAGAACAATCCAATCGCCGCCGCCGCAGCCGTAACACCTCTAGCTCCGCCGCTAGAGACATCGCTGGCGGAGGAGCTTAGCGCGATCAAGAAAAAGCTGGAGAGGCTGAGAGCAGACAAGGAGAGAACGGAGAAAACGCTAAACGAGAAACAGGCGATGCTGGACGTGAAGCTGAAGGAGATGGAACAGAGAGGAGAGATTCAGAAGAACCTCGAGATCGAGGTCGATAGATTGTTCCGATTGAAGGAACTCAAGCATCGATGCATGGTGCTCACTGTTCACAACACCTTTCCTATTCTATTTGTTTTCAACTTCGATTTCTCAATGCTAATATTTGTGCTTCCGTTCGTTTTTTAATTGAATCAGAGAGTTTCTCCGATGCGAACGCTCAGGGAGAAGGAACAAGAGAAGATCGTCAACGAAGCACCGTTGCAATCCGAGGTACGTGCATGTGGTGTTCATGAATTTTGAATTTAATTTGCAAACTTTTTCATACAGAATTCGATCGAAAGAGAGTGGGAATTGAGAAATGTACCTCTGTTTTGATGTTGTGAAGGTGAAAACCGAGGAAACGGTGAAGTTTGAATCTGAATCTGAATCTGTTGAAGACGAATGCCACGTTCTGCAAAGTCCGGGCTCAGCTTCTTCACAAACTCATACTACACATACAACAAAATCAGAGAATTGAGCAAAGCCGTATTTCAAGAAGATTCCATACATAATTTCTCGTTATGTTCTTTATTTTATATTTATTTTAATTTCTCTAAAATTCACATTGCAGTTAGTACCCTTATTTTATTTTTGTTCTAACATTTTAAGAAAATGGTCACTGTTCATAGTGTTATATTGCTAATAAATAAGCTTGAGCATTCTGTTCATATTTCAATCTGTCTGCTTCTTCTTTTCTTTTTTCAGTGACTGAAAAATATAGTAAATCATATTTACTCGATCAAATTATATTTACTTGGCAAATTTCACAAATAAATTAGCTGGAAATTAAAAGCTAAAAACTCATTAGTAAGATGAATGAATTTAAAGAGTTCGATAAATTAGATTCAATTAGTTAATAAGCGTAAAATGATATAAAAAGGATAAATTTAATCACCAAATCATAATTTAAAATTTAATTATTATATATTTTTAAAGTTTAATTTATTTTATACAACTTGTTATAAAATATTTAAGATATAAATTTTTTAAATTTTATTCTCTTCATCATAGTTATATATTACATTTGTCCAACGATAATTATCTATGTGGCAGCTTAATTTTCACTCTTTTCAGGACATTATTGATGATATTGTGCAATTAAAGGATTTCTTTTTTTTTTTTATCTGAATGGGGGTAATGTACTGTTCGCTGTGCAGTACACAGGTATTGCTCTATTTTTTATTTTTTATTAAATAAAATGAGATAATAAAATTATATTTATAATATATTTCTAAAATTTTATATCATAAAAAATTTATTAAAATATTAAATATATATATATATATATATATATAGCAAGATCTCTCTTACACCATTGTAAGTCTAAAAACTCTTACACTCAATTTGAGTTTTTATTTAATTTAAATTTAATAGTCAGTGGAATAATAAATTATAATCTGTTAAATTTAAATTAAATGAAAAGCTTAAATTGAATGTAAAATTTTTTAGATTTATATCGCTATAAAAAGATCGTTTTCCTGTACGTATATATTTTAAATTTTTAAATTCAAATGTTACAGAAAATAATATTTCAAACACCTTCAGAATTAGAACTACCCATCCATAATTTTGTTCTAAAAACTATCATTGTCCCTTTCGCTGTAATATCAGATACACAGTAAACAATTTGATTATGCAGAATTAGAGTTTGTTGTTGCGATCTAAGCGTAGAAATGGAACTGGAAAGTACTTAAATTTGAAACTTTGTAATTTATGCCTATACTTGAGTATGCACGACATTTAATTATGTTAATTATATTGCTAAAAAGGCTTTTTACAAATATTCCCTTTTCATAGAAAGTATAGACATTTTCTTAAAAAGAAAGTAACAGACATTTTATTTCGTGCTTGGATAGGCTATCGTTTTCCTTAAACGCATATTCGAATGAATACAACAAAATGATAATTTCTGCTTAAAAACATGCTATGAATCTAAAACATAGACTCAAGTTTTCTAAATTTTTATATATATTTTTATCAATTTTGTTAATCTCAACTTTTAAAATTGGGTTTAAATATTTAAAAAATAATATTTTTATTAAAAACAATACTTGTTATATGTTTTTGCTAGAAAAATACTAATCTTCTGGTCTTTAATCTGAAATAATGACATCCCTCTGACCGTCGCTGACGTGGGGAAGGTATTTGGAAAGGACAGTAATCCTACCGGCAAGTCGTTGAACTTCCTTAACATTCCAAGGATTAGCCATCTCGATGATAGTTTGACATTTATTTAGGATTTGCCTCGATCTCCTTTTTGGATAACATGAAGCCCAGGAATTTATCGTTGGCTACTCCAAAGGTACACTTCTCAGGATTAAACTGCATCCTATGTCGCCGAGCCTGATCGAATACCTCTTTTAAATGCATGAGGTGGTGCTCTAATTTGGCATATTTGATTACCATGTCATCAACATATACTTCCATGCATTTTCCTATTTGTCCTTCAAAAATTTTATTCATCAGTCTCTGGTATGTCGCCCCAGCATTCTTCAAACCGAAAGACATTACTCGGTAACAAAAATTAGCCGAGTCAGTGATGAACGCAGTTTTTTCCTCATCCGGTGGGTACATTCGGATTTGGTTATACCCAGAGTAGGCATCTAAGAAACTGAACATTCTGTGCCCTACTGCACCGTCTACGAGAGCGTCAATGCTCGGGAGTGAGTAAGCATCTTTTGGGCATGCTTTGTTGAGATCTGTGTAATCGGTACACATTCGTCATTTGCCATTTGCTTTCTTGACCATGACTACATTGGCCAACTAGGTAGAGTATCTAACTTCTCGGATAAAACCGACCTGCAGTAACTTAGCAATCTCCTCCTTTACCGCTTTTGCTCTGTCGCCTCCCACTTTCCTCTTCTTTTGTGCTATTGGTTTTGCTGCTTTATAAACAGAGAGGTGATAACAGAGAAATGTTGGATCAATACCGGGCATGTCTGAAGCTGACCAGGCAAATAGATCAGCATTTCGTATCAATGTTATCTAGAGCTCTTATTTTTCTTGGCCAGATAGGCTGACTCCCAAGTAAGTAACCTACTCAAGCTTTAGTCCAAGCTGAAAATGTTGCTTATTTTCATTAGGCTCGACCTGACACCCTTTGTCAGCCCTAGGATCAAGTTCAATATCTATGTCCTCCCCAGTCCTAGGGGTCACAATGTTGACATCTCGTCCGTAGTCTTGCAGTGGTTTGATGCGTAAGCTTGCAAAATAGCACTCCCTCACTATCTTCTGGTTAGCATGAACTGTAACTATTCGGCCCCTTTCTGATAGAAATTTCATAGCCAAATGTGGAGTTGATACTATGGCTTTAAGTTTGTTAAGAGACGGCTTACCGAGTAATATATTGTACGAGGTATTTGCATGAACTACCAGGTACATGACCTTGATTTGCTTTCCTTCATGTTCTGATCCAAATGAGGTGTAAAGGTCAATACACCCACGAGTCTCTACTCGTTCTCCTGAAAAATCGACTAGGGGTTCACGATATTCTTTGAGTTCCTCTTCTGGTATTCCCAGTTGCTTAAAAGTATTCCAGTAGAAGATGTCAGCTGAACTCCCCTGATCAATTAGTGTTTTCTGAACGGTGCAGTTGAGAATATCTACACTTATTATCATGGGGTCGTCTTGTACCAGGTCCACTCCTTGAAAGCCTTCGTCAGTAAATGTAATAGGGGGGATCCAAATCCTATTACCAAGTGACATATTATTGACCGATCGGACTTGTCTCAAATGTCTCTTTCTAGCCGAATGAGTAGGTCCTCCACTGGCAAACCCTCCAACTATGGTATTAATGACCCTTTTGGGATACTTTTCACGTTCATCGTAGCGTCTAGTTGGGGGTTCCCTAGACCTACTCCTCTATCGTTCAAGTCTTTTATCATCGTATCTCTTTGATGGTTCAGGGTAACGGTCTCTTCCTCTACTGAATTGACCGACGGGATTTGTCTGCACAAAATCTTTTAAATGTCCTTCCTTGATTAATTCTTCAATTTTATCGTTCAGCGCTGTGCATTCCTCGATGGTGTGACCCCTGTTCTGATGGTAGCGACAAGCCTTGCTTTCATCTGCCCGAGGAGGGGTGTTGGCGCGTCTAGGCATTCTTAGTATTTTTGTGGCCAATGTCTGATCAAGTACTCTGGACCGATTAGTGTTGAGCATAGTGTAGGAAGGGTACTTGGGTCCCCTGGGCGGCCTTTCAAGTTCATTCCTTCATTCCTTATTTTCCTGCCTAGACTTAAAAGTTTTTCTCCTATCTGTATTTTTTGAATTGGACCCCTGGTCCATCCGTACCTGGTTTCGATACTCGGACAATTCTTCCATCTGCATATACTTTGCAGCCTGACTTCTCAACTCGTCTAGGTCAGCAGGTGATTTTTTGCAAATACTATTAACGAAAGAACCTGGCTTCAGAGCCGTTGTGAGGTGGTGCATGGCCACATCTGGTTCTAGATTGTGGATGGAAAGGGTCACTTTATCAAATCGTTTCATGAACGCTCAGAGCGATTCTCCTTTTTCTTGACGAATATTGACAAGCGCTAGGGATGTCAAGGGGTGAGGGCGGCTTGTGGTGAACTGCAAATTGAACCGTCTTGTGAGGGTTGTGAAGGAGTCAATAGATGAGGGAGGGAGTCAGGTAAACCAAGTAAGCGTTGGTCCTCTTAGTGAAGTGGGAAAATCCTGCACCATAAGGAGTCATTCTCTATGTACAAGTTGACTTGAGTCGTGAAAACATCCAAATGCTCTCCAGGGTCAGTTGTGCCATCATATTTTTCTATTGTTAGACCTCTCCAGTTGTCAGGTAGTTTAGCATCAAAGATATGATGAGCAAACGGGTTTCGATTCACCGCATCATCTCGGTCATTCTTGGTTTCAGACTATTGAGTTAGCCTCGATTTCTCTTGTAACGCCGAGGACTCCCCCTGATCCTGGGCTAGAGGTGTGGTTTGGGAAGGGATGTGTGTTCTTATTTCTTCTCTTAAGTGGACATTTTCCCTTCTCAATACCGAGAGCTCCAGGGCATCTTTCTCCCTGTCCTTTTTCATCTCCATTATTTCTGTTTTGAGCTGCATTAATACCGCTAAAAGGCCTTCGTCAGTTCCTCCTTCCATCAAAATTTCGGGTGTCAATTGGGTAAGGGTGATATCTTCTTACTGTTGCGGAGAGGTTCCCCCTGTTGAGCATGTCCGTCCTGTTGGCTTCTTGTTAGTATCATGTTAATAAAAAAAACAAGGCAATCGTGCCTCACGGTGGGCGCCAAAATGTTCCTGCTAGGGAAACACTAATCTTCCAGTCTCTACTCTGAAGTAATGATGTCCCTCTAACCGTCGCTGACGTGGGGAAGGTACCTGCAAAATGCACTCCGATGCTGAAGTCAGTATTCGGTTCTGAGTAATAAATGCTATTTAATAATGAAAAGTCAACAATGTACTTGTACTTCTTATCTTCCTTTTATAGGCGTTATTATGGGCTAATGGGCCTGCT